TAACTCCTTGGAGACCATGGATTTCAGTGGATACACAGACACGTCAATCAACGTCAATCGTGGATGAGTTGGCCGTAAACATCATATGTTGTGTTCCTGCCCTTAAGCAATCATCGAGTCTTAGATGTGGGCTAATGCATTTCCCAAGCAGTAATTTCTTGACCCGGAGTCGATGTAGTCGAACGACGCTTCCAACGTCAGCAGCGGTAGGACGTAGTGAAGGTGCTGCGTACATCCCTCTCGCACGTCAACCAATACTCACGAAAAGAACGATGTACCAAAACACAGGGTTTAGTAGAGAATATGAGTGTGCCCCAAAATGGCACCGCCAGAAGACACGAGTATTCCGGTTGTGAGCCGACCGTCAAAATCTGTATGGGCTGCGGACAGGTGTATCTCGATCCGATGTTCATACGTATCTGTATACACCAAAGGTGGTTGACACGTGTATTTGTATACACCAAGGGTGGTTGACACGTGTATCTGTATACACCAAGGGTGGTTGACACGTATCTGTATACACCAAGGGTTGTTGACACGTGTACTTGTATACACCAAGGGTGGTTGACACGTGTATCTGTATACACCAAGGGTGGTTGACACGTGTATCTGTATACACCAAGGGTGGTTGAAACGTGTATCTGTATACACCAAGGGTTGCTGACACGTGTACTTGTATACACCAAGGGTTGCTGACACGTGTATCTGTATACACCAAGGGTGGTTGACACGTGTATCTGTATACACCAAGGGTGGTTGACACGTGTATCTGTATACACCAAGGGTGGTTGACGTGTATCTGTATACACCAAGGGTGGTTGACACGTGTATCTGTATACACCAAGGGTGGTTGACACGTGTACTTGTATACACCAAGGGTGGTTGACACGTGTATCTGAATAGTGAGTGAGTGAGTTTAGTTTTACGCCGCACTCAGCAATATTCCAGCTATATGGCGGCGGTCTGTAAATAATCGAGTCTGGACCAGACAATCCAGTGATCAATAGCACGAGCATCGATCTGCGCAATTTGGAACCGATGACATGTGTATCTGTTTATACCAAGGGTTGTTGACACGTGTATCTGGACACACTAAATTATAGAAATACTATATACAACGGAGTTTTGAAAGACAGGTTAATCTGTGTACGGTTGTTGAAATACACCTGTATACCTGGCGACAACTGGGCTCTCCACACCTTCGACAACTTTATCTCCAGACAGAGGAGTGTACCACAGACAGTTCGCACACCCAGTACGCCAGCTAACAGTAAACGTATCGTCTTGCTCCAAACAGTGAAACACCCACCACTGGTTTCCTCAGTGCAATAGTGAAAGTACGCTCACTTTGTACAATCTACTTAACATTTTGTGAAGAGGGGCATGGTTGATATTTATACAAATGCTGGTTTAGATTTACGTAACCGAAACGACTTTGAAAGCACAAATCCTACATATAGAATACATATGAAAGAAACATATGTATGGATTTTTATATGTTTTACGTGGTTAAAATCACATATACATCCCATATCCTGTTCGACGTCAAGTCCTTACAGTCCACTTAACGCCTGGGACCACACAAGGTAACAAAAAGTGTCGTCACTTAACGTCTCTTTGATAACCTTGACACAGCGTTACGATCACAAACACAATTCCCATTCAAGCGTGAACATAATGTTACCTGTTTGCACTGACGTGTTGTGGAGTAAAGCAAAGAGACTGGTATTTGCTGATTCACATGATCAGAAGCACCCCGCGGGATTGTGTAAGGTAATCTATAAAGTATATACCTGCCTCAAGACATGTAACGGTATATGTAGAACAGAGGACTAATCGCTGTCCATTGGCGAACTGCACAGAATACAGAGCTCTCCTCGGCTTGATACAGTGTACGCTGATTCGAATTTGTGAATGCCTTTTGTTGAGGCGAAATGAATGGGAGGACATGATTATAAATGAAATATTCATGAAGGCGACATACACTTCTTATACCTGAATGCATTACACATGTCAGATAGGTAATCTGAATGTTATTCTTTCTTAGCTGTGCACCATGGTGGGCACAGGGGCCCAGGTTTCATGTTTTGGTTTCTAACATGGCGCAAACTTATACCTGAAATTGAAACGCCAATAACTGCAAGGGGTATGGAATTCTAAATTGCAAATGTCGCGTCTATGCCCGGCCTGTGTGTAAACGCAGTAAGTAGCCTCTTGTGAAGTCGAAACCGTTTCAAATAAAGGAAGTCGGTTATTAGTGTAGCGATCCACTTAAGTCAACTTTTGACCAATGTTTTAACCTGTCTTTCGAATACCATTGGTGGGAGTACCATGGAATCTCAGAAATGAGACACCCGGTGTTAAAATTAAGGTTAAGTGATTCAGATGTGACCGCTTTGCCATACAGAAATGTTCCACCTTTGATATTCCATTACTAGTGGTAAAGCAATACCTGCGATAAAGGTTGTTCAAAAGTTGCATCTCCATGGTTTATTGAAACCATTTCTACAGGAATATAAAATGGTTTTACCGAGTTCAAAGGCACCTCCGCGTTATAAAATTGTCGGCATCAGTGCTTCCCCACTTCATTCTGATTAAGTTATGGTCTGTTTTACATCCTAATACTCCCCAGTGAAAGTGATATTGATTATGTTTATAGCTGCGAAACATAAATCTTCCACTCGGCGAGAACTTAACTGTCGTTACAAGATTCCCCTCCTCCAAACATGGCCATTACATCTTTCTGCATAGATGTTAACTGAACAGATTTGGGCATGTTTAATGTAAAAGATAAAATAAATTTTACCGTTTCCTACTTACAATAAATGCGCTCATTTGAAATAAATTGTATCTTGAACCAAAACAAACGAATTCCACGAAGCGGAGGAAGCATACGAGGGATGAGACAGTGTTTCACAGTGCCAACGCTCAGATAGGCAGAGTCTGTTTTATTTGAATAGTTACTTCAAAATTTAGAGTAGTCGGATAAGAACACGTACAAGATGTAATGTTTATGGGCGTATCTTTTCGCCAGCAGCACACGCGACCAATGAAAAGAATTGAATGAATAGTATCTCTTGCACTTATAAACAAACAGCATGAACACTGACGAGGTATTTGTTGACGTTTTCACGTATTCATTTATTTTTTTCAGTATTATATTTCAAGTTCAAAATAGCAAACAATTAGCACGTTTTAACGCAAGACTGATTCTCAAAGAAAAATGGCACGGTCTAAACTTTTGCCATATGCTTGGAAAAGAAATTGTTGGAGAAATGTAGGTATTCGACGTTTACTGGTCACAAGAACCGGAATGCACATATGTAATGTTGATTACGGGTGGGCGTTTGTTTTGGAGGAAGACTTAGAACAGACATTCCAATGATTGGTATCGATCCGCGCTGTACGTCACCGTGCACTATAGGATGCTGGGTATCTTGGTCATACCCGGGGTGCTCAGAAAGCCAGAAGCGAACCAGGAAATAATGACCCGGATTTACTGTCGCGTTGAAGGGAATTTCGACACCTTTAATCACTAGGCCACTCGTGGGTGTTGTGATCGGAGATCAGATAGGCCTGCAAAGTACGTAGTACCCCAGTCATCATTCTGACAACTTGCTATAAGATCATACACGCAGCTTTAAATTAACCTATAATAACCAGATACCCCTGTATGTCAAATCAGTAATAACATATGTTGTCCCATTCCAGTTCGCCATCAACACACCACCCGCAACTTTCTGACCCACAACCATCGAAAACATTTACGGGCACCCGTATTCACCAGCCGAGACCCCTACCTTCCATACTTTTCCCTTAACCCTGATCTCACCAGGGTCTCATCCCCTGAGCTACCGGGTACACATGTGCTAGCCTGGATCTGGTGACCCCTTCCCCCACCCCATGCTGATCCTATCGAGACCACACTTAACATTCGCAGTAACAATATACGACAGACTCTCTTATTAACATATATCCTGTCGTGTCTACATTCTGTCGATAACCCTCCCTACCAGCCATTGTCCCCAAGCACCACGTCCCCTCCCGACGTCGACTACAGAAGATTCCTACAGGGTGCGAGTTCAATTACGTCGTAAAAATCCGCCTGCAGCAGTCGAATTTACCGATGATTAATTATCGTACCAAAAGGCACATGATTAATACCCGTTTTTGAACTATGTTTAACTACACCGACAATTAACCAGACAGACAAACTAATATTTTTGTAAGCAGAAAAATATCGACAGTAAAGAGACAGAATGAAATAGCGAGTAAGTTGTGACATCAACAAGTGTCTACCTCCAATATTAATGAGCATGGCAGTTACAGGACGTGGGGTCATTCTACACATATTGAAAACTGAGTGTGGTGGTTCTTTTGGGGGTAGGGTAATATAGCGATGTAAATACATGTACAACTGTTACGTGGTATTGGGGTCATTCTACACAGGGATTGAAAACAGAGTGGTGGTTCTTTTAGGGGGTAGGGTAATATAGCGATGTAAATACGAATGTCCTGGTGGCAAATGTTCTAAATACCAAACGGCTGCCTTCCAGCCTCCGCTCTTAAACAAATAGTCGTGGGCAATCTGTTCTTAGCTAGAACATGTCAGATGGGTTTCATTTAATTTCTCTCCGCCACAGTGAGTAAATGCAAAACATATGGTCATTCTCTGGTAGGCAAATACATCACGGAGAGAAAAAACAGTAATAGAAATCAGAGTAAATGCATTAGCACTCTTCTCAGCACCAAGCTACGTACGATGGGCAGTAAACGTACACAATCAACATCAACGGCGTGGTTTGACTAAGGGAAAGGCTTGTACAGTAATAGCCAGATTCATAAACATCAATAAAGAAATTAATTGACAATAAAAGGCATTCGATAATAACCACGTCTCCATTGCAGTGTCCCTTAGTATGTAGAATGGCGTCACGGTGACGAGAGATGTGGTCGATCAACTGTTATGATTCACAATAGTGTATGATGAATGGTCTTACCTGGACTGGTAACTGTAGGCATATCCTTCTGTTTCCTCGCAATAGAGACTCACGTGGTCTCCTATGCATAAGTACTCTCCCATCCCCGCCGCTCTACTGTATCCATTAAGCTGTAAAGAAATAGAGGGGAATCAAGTCGATTCTGAGGGACTTTGTATGTCTACATATCATTTTGATCGCTGGTCTATCAACCAGTGTGTACACACGGCGGCAATACAACACACTGACTAAATCGGCGAAACAGAGGCTCCGAGCCTCACCTGGCGACGTAGACGCTGCCCTCGGCCCCCTTGATGAATCTATCACGGGACACGATTACAGGTAGGCAGTTACACAGCGACACTCCGTATCGGGTTAACGGAAATAGTCGACAGAATAAAACATTTATTATTATTTTTTAACTCACAGAAGTTGCCGAAGGTAGTGTATCGATGTCGATGTGATAACGGCGGTTAATTTTTTTTAATGGATTTAAAATTTGGCGATTACTTTGGGAAGTCTGGGGATACGGTTCCCGTGTGGTATGTGATCAGAAGGTGCACGTGACGAGGTGGAGTAAGCCAGTGAGTCGGGTTCTTACTGACGCACGGACGAATCGTGCCCAGTTGGTGATGTGCAACTTCGCTGCACATAGATTGTGGATTAAATATGATACATTGTATTTTGGAACGCAACCTCTTGTGGACACATTTGATTTTGGTCAGGTTTTCCACTTAATAATAAACGATAGATCTGAATACAGCGATACCTTTTATCATTTGAAGTAGTGAGATGTTTGGGGACTCCGGGGACTGTGAGCTCCAGTCAACATGATGATAGCGTATGTGCGGCGCTTCACAACTTTTGGCACTACATAAATGAAGGCTAGTTCTTAATTTGTGGTAATTCACACATTTATATAGTGAATAGATACTTTTAATAAAGTAAAGTACGTATCCTTTTCAGTTCGAATGGCACACGTGGGTAAATCATGCTGAAGAAGCATTACGGATGGAGATCGAGAGTGCTGTCGCATAACATGTAAATCACATCTTTCTCGAATTCATAAACAAAACCTACTAATGGGGACAGAAACAATCCAAATGACATTTAGAATAACTGGACAGTCACGTGCACCGATTCAGTCTATTCCGTATCCAGAAACTGAAGTTATTCAAACCAATCATTTTGGACACTTCTCGTCGAAAGTTATGACTGATCAAATTCGACATCGGTGTGATGAGTTTCACATGCACGCTGTTCTTCCTGAACATACAGTGATGAGTGAGTTTAGTTTTACGCCGCTTTCAGCAATATTCCAGCAATATCACGGCGGGGGACACCAGAAATGGGCAACACATATGGCGGTGTCTTCGGCGTGACGAGCCAACGCTTTAACCACTAGACTACCCCACCGCCCCTCCTGAACATACAGAGGAAACGCTAATTTTAACAAGCGTATAAAGCTCCTCCGTCCAACTACAAGATGGAGCATCCTTATTATGTATCACTAAAACATTGTACTTACTTCCGGATGATATTTTCTTGGACGGGTAGGTTTAGGAGATTTTACTCCTAATTTCATTTTGTGCAGCGAGTTTCGTCCAGAACTACTATGACATGTCGATCTCAGGACGAGTATTGTCAAGCATTTGGGAAGTCTGGGATACGGTTCCCGTGTGGTATGTGATCATAAGGTGCACGTGACGAGGTATAGTAAGCGAGTGAATTGGGTTCTTACTGACGCACGGACGAATCGTGCCCAGTTGGTGATGTGCAACTTCGCTGCACATAAATTGAGGATGAAATATGACACATTGTATATATATTTAATGGAACCCTTTGATGAACCTTGTGTGGACACGTTTGATTTTTGTTTTCCACTTAATAAAAACATCAGATCTGAATGCAGCAATACCTTCTCATCACTAAGAGTGGTGAGGTGTATGGAGACTCCGGGGCGTGTGAGCTCCAGTCAACATGATGATAGCGTATGTGCGGCGCTGGAGACTGTGTTGGCACTACACAACTGAAGGCTACGTTCTTAATGTCAGTGAGTGAGTAGAGTTTGACGCCGCTTTTACCAATATTCCAGCAATATCACGACGGTTAGTCACCAGATCTGTGAAGCACTACCTACATTTATATAGTAAATATATACATTTAATAAAGTAAGTTCGTATCCTATTGTAACTCGTCACGCCGAAGACCTTCGAATCCCCACATATTCAGTTTTTGCGAATGACACAAAAGCGGCGTAAGAACAAACTCAGTCAGTCAGTCAGTCATGCTATCTATTCAATTCGAAGACGGGTATTGCTGACGACGTGTTAAGGTTGGAGAGTGCTGTCGCATAACACGTAAAACACAAATCTTTCTCGAATTCATAAACAAAACCTACTACTGGGGACAGAAATAATCCAAATGACATTTAGAATAACTGGACAGTCACGTGCACCGATTCAGTCTATCCTATATCCAGATTACTGAAGCTTTTCAAAGCAATCATTTTGGACACTTCTCGTCGAAAGTTATGACTTATCAAATTCGACATCGGAGTGATGAGTTTCACATGCACGCTGTTCTTCCTGAACATACAGTGGAAACGCACATGTTAACAAGCGTATAAAGCTCCTCCGTCCAACTACAAGATGAAGCATCCTTATTATGTATCACTAAAACATTATACTTACCTCCGGATGATATTTCCCTTGACGGGTAGGTTTAGGAGATTTTACTCCAAATTTCATTCTGTGCAGCGAGTTTCCTCCAAACCTAATATAACTTGACGGTTTCAGGACTAACCCCAGTATGCATGGAACGAGTACTTATACCGAACCGGTGTCACCGGTTTTGACTAAAACGTATTCATACCCAAATAAGGTGTCTCTATTGTATGCCTGGGGCATTAAAGCCTTTTCAAATTTGTGCTATTCTAGCAGATTGACAAAAACCGGTATTTACCTGGAGGGGGTCAGTAAAGCAGCTTTACAAAGGAATAAACACCAAGACACGGCAGTACCTGATCTGAGCACTCTGGGTTTCGCTGAAACCGGTTTAATAGACATATGTGTTGACTGCTCTCGACTTAAGGAAACTTTGTTATTGTTAACCCAATCGCTTGCAGACACTTGTTGTTACTCGCCGAGATCAATCGGCGGAGGTCGAGGTGTTAAGTAATCTGCATTGTCACGTCACAAAGGCGATTCAGTTACACGGGCAATTGTTTCCCATGTTAAAGGGATGGTGTGAAAAGTCAAGTCGGGTTAAACAATAAAACACTCAAACATGGCCACAATAGCTTTTGACATTAATATGTCGGGGAAAAGAACCCAGGTATTCTCGGCGAATGTATCGTCCACTAGGTCACCATAAATAGTCAATTAAATCAAACAATCTTGCATACACTAATACAGGGTTGATTTGAAAATTTCAGAGAAACCATTGATATTCAGATGTTTTAATGGCATTTAGAAGTGATGTGCATAAGGGACAGGATTTATGGATGTCAATAGGATGGCAAATTTCCAAATTTAAAATTCATACAAATTTAATTATGCAACACTAACGCCTCAGGTTGCCATATCTGACAGGCCCGTGTGCGAAGTATGCATTATGTCAGAAATCGCACGTTAAATCATCATCATTGTATGGGGGCGGTGGGGTAGCCTAATGCTTAAAACGTTGGCTCGTCACGCCGAAGACCCGGGTTCGATTCCCCATATGGGCACAATGTGTGAAGCCCATTTCTGGTGTCCCCCGCCGTGATATTGCTGGAATATTGCTAAAAGCGGCGTAAAACTAAACTCAGTCAGTCAGTCAGTCATCATTGTATGTCTTCTCTAATGTAAGGAATAAACCTTTCGGAATATATGCGTATTGCTCCATCATACACTCAAAAACGTCCTGGTGAATAGTTGCTATCTAACTGTCCAAATAATTAAGATCTTAACATCGATAACTTGTCTCCTTCATCTATAAACATGGAGAAAGGTATCGCAACCCTTCTGGTGCGATATTAAGAGGTTATTACATGACAGTTTTCCTTTCGCCATGAGTCTGTTTGATGTGGTAGTCGAGGGCCGATATGACTGGCGAAAGGGAAACTGTCATATAACCTATTTGTTATGTACCATATCAAGTGACGTAACTCTAAAATTAACTAGACTCCGTCTATGGAAGTTTCGAGCGTTTACGTGTATTTATTCCGTACCAGTTTAGTAGCCGGGCAACACGGCTGATATGGATTTTCGGCCCAAGGGCTGATATGGCTGATATGCATTTTCAGCCCGGGTGGTCAATATGGGAGCGAGTGAGTGAGTTATGGTTTATTGTCACATCGGCAATATTTCACCCATATCGTGACTTTAATAAATTACAAATTCATAATTAACACAATTACATTATAAGGAAATATGCCGACGAAGGACAGTCAAATAACTAGATTATCACAGATAGAGAAGTAAAACCAGCATTTAACTGTAAAATTCAAACAAATTTTATGAACATTACAATATATAAAACTGGGCTGGAGATCACCAGAAACTGAAGGTAGGTCACCATACAAAGACTGGTCAATATGGACATATACCGACAGCCAGTGTTGCATGTGCAAAATGGTCCATATTATTCATAGGTATATGATAAACATTGATTTTAAATATTCACGTGCTTCGATCAAAAGCGTGTACCCGTCAAAAGACCAGATCTTGATCCCACAGACTGACTGACTGACTGACTGAGTTTGGTTTTACGCCGCTTTTAGCAATATTCCAGCAACATCACGGCGGTCGATCCAATAGAGCACATTTTGGACATTATGGGTCGTATAATACACACGAATTCTCAAGTGCAAAATCTTCATGAATTGGAACAAACCCATCATCAAGAATGGAAAGCAACGTCAAGGTGAAATTCATCGTCTGATACATTCGAGGAGGAGGAGGGTCAGGGGTGTTGTTGACGTTGGCGGAGGTTACGTCAGATATCGTCATTGTGTTTGGTTAGTGATACTTACGTCATTTCTTCTGTACGACAGAATCTTAAAATGGCCACACTTATGCGTTCAGAGTTATCACCACTGTTAAATGAGTCAACTATTCGCCATGAAAACACTACCTGTTTTGTTCTT